CTGGGCTGAATCCGGGCTGCGACGTATTGGGTGTCGTTTATTTGCACATTTTGACCTGCCGAGGTCAAACGGGGTCACATATCGAAAAGCGGTTTTTAAGAAAAGTTACTACGGCCTATGGGCTACCCGATGATGTGCTTTGATTTGGAATTCGGTCAATCCATCTACTCGAAAACTGCTGTGCAAGTGTATTTTCGACATAGCCCACAAATGACCTTAGGTCATCGCATGACCTTGAGAGGTCAAATGAGTGTTGGAAAAGTAAGATTAGATGCTGGCGAGTCGATTGGTGCCATTTTTAGCGCTCTAGCTCTACTGGGTGGGCCACAATCTGCTGTGCAAATTTGGGCCACGTGACCTTTGCTGACCTCTGTAGGTCAAACGGCTGGGAGTGCCACCGAATGACTTGGACTGTGGATTGGGCATGTCATGGCCTACATTGTGTGCGAGTTTCAGCTTGATCGGAGGTGTCCCGAATCTGGGCTGAATCCGGGCTGCAACGTATTGGGTGTCGTTTATTTGCACATTTTGACCTGCCGAGGTCAAACGGGGTCACATATCGAAAAGCGGTTTTGAAGGAAAGTTACTACGGCCTATGGGCTACCCGATGATGTGCTTTGATTTGGAATTCGGTCAGTCCATCTACTCGAAAACTGTTGTGCAAGTGTATTTTTGACATAGCCTACAAATGACCTTAGGTCATCGCATGACCTTGAGAGGTCAAATGAGTGTTGGGAAAGTAAGATTAGATGCTGGCGAGTCGATTGGTGCCATTTTTAGCGCTCTAGCTCTACAGGGTGGGCCACAATCTGCTGTGCAAATTTGGGCCACGTGACCTTTGCTGACCTCTGTAGGTCAAACGGCTGGGAGTGCCACCGAATGACTTGGACTGTGGATTGGGCATGTCATGGCCTACATTGTGTGCGAGTTTCAGCTTGATCGGAGGTGTCCCGAATCTGGGCTGAATCCGGGCTGAATCTGGGCTGAATATGGGCTGTCTTGATCAACATGTAAAAATATCACTGTAGGTACGCTCTTCTATAGCTTGTCAGTTGTTTTTCAATGCTGGTTTTTCGAGTATGGTCTACTTTTTAAGAGGTCTTTATTGTATGCATGTACACTTCAACGGTTTTCAAATGTAGGGAAGAGGGTAAAGCTCTCTCAGCTCGTCACATATCAAGCTTGACGTGGCAGTCTTGATTATATCAAAATTAGTTATAAGAAAACATCCCGCACATTACAGGTCATTAGTATCTCCATTCTGTGCCCATTTCGAGCTCATTACATATTGCACACGCCGTTTTCTGCGAGTTATTACGTCAGTACGTTTCTCCTAGTACACCTATCTGGAGATATACACACACCGCTGCGGTGGATATCGAGGAAGGTGCGCCTCGGGCGGCGCTCTCCCGGACCGGGGGACTGATTAGCAGCCCGTCCGGATGTGACACAGACCGCCGGCGGCGACAGGCCCGGCCGAGACAGGTGATTGGTCCGCCGCCGATCGGCCCCAGGCTGACTGCCGTGATGAACAGAGCACCCCTGTGCGGTCAGATAGTCCAGAGGGAGGCCGCAGTCTGCGGCGACGACGGGGGGGGGGGGATGTAGCCCATGGGGAGTCTGAATTGTGCTGAACCGAGCGGCGTTCTTTTTGCAATGAAGTCAGCCTCAAGCACGAGTCAAAAGGATGGGAGGATGATGTGGATGGACGGTAAGGTAGGTAATACAAATGATTGATAAATGAGTGTTAAATTTTGTCCGTAGAATGTGCAGCCGCTTAAACAAACAACCTCATTAATAAGAGAGGATTCACCATGCATGCTGTACTTCACCGACGTTGATTGATGTAGTTTCTTGAAATTCTTTCGGAAATCGATCACTAAAATATTAAAAATAATCGTCAAGTATTAAGGCGAGCATACATTTAAAGTTAAACGTGATCTGTGGTGACTCAACCATGAATGACCTAGAGGATAATTCCAAGTGTGCCGAATGATGTGTGCTTAAGTTTGTTTATTCGCCAAAAAAGAAAACTGATGGAAGGGACATATAGGGTGAAGTCGTATAAGAGTACGCACTTAGTGGATTTCTTGCTCTCATTTGTTTAATATTTGAAGGAAAGAAATCGCAAATAGGGAATATTAAAGTTCATTGAATTAGCCATCAACCCATGGGGCAACGATCCTTCAGCGTAAATGGAAGTGGTCTAAAACTGACATTTTCTGAACCGTTGCACTTGCGTACTCTTACCATATGGGGTGTGTAAGAGTACGCACGCCAGGCGGGTGGAGTACGCAAGCATATGAACACACACCTATGCAGCTTGCATTGTCCAAATGCTTAACTTCAAACTCAGAAGGCATTCAAGTTAATTCTAGTATCCCAAAAGAAAAATATAAAATAAATCTTTCAAGTCTATAAATCAGGAAATAATCATGTCGTGTGTTTCTTTTAAAAAAATGCACAATCAAAAAGGAGAATAACTCGTATTTGGAAGAATTTCGGGTACGCATCTGCATCACAGTGCTCCATTGATGATATACCTACAAAACAAACGTCATTGAGCGATAGATTAATAATTATATATTTCTGCATATTCGATTTAATGTATAATTCTGCGTACTCTTACCCTCCTGAACAGTGCGTCCTCTTACCGTACATGCAATTCGCGCACAAAACAACCCCGAAACGTTGTGCAAAACTTCGCAAACAGAATGTTGCACTGTACAGTATTTCCCCAGATAACCTCACAAGTTTCCCACAACAATCACGGAAATGTACCTCATCTCAACTGCCAAGTATCAAAATTATTGTACCATATCATAATAATATCATAACGCTCGAAAATAATATTCATCGCCTTAAACTCAACAGCGTCGCCGCTCAACGCCCACGTTCCGTTGGTGACATGCACGCACTGGCGGCTTCATGTCACTTCATGAACTCGACAAACCCGCGTTGCTAAGCAACCGAAACAGCTGATGCGTACTCTTATCGCCCGCGTACTCTTACCCGCCCTTACCCTAATGCTCCACTATATAATTATCACGGCTTGTGAATCAAGGGGTAAGTAAGGTGGGACACAGGAGACTGCATAAACATTTTTTAAAGTAACGTCTCTGTCCAAAAAGGTTCGGTCTTTCGGAGCCCGCTTTATGTGCTTACATGCTTTCTTCAGCGGTTTTAAATTGTGAGAATCAGTTAAAACATTATGTCGAAACAGGATCAATCCAGTAGGCAATAACGATAGCTAGGTACTGTCAACAATCTAATTAATGATCGATCGTATTGTAGTTATTGGGATTTATAAAAACAATCGACAGCCAATTCACCTAAGATAAAATGGCCCAGTAAAAGTTACGGCCCTCGTCCGACTGCGTGGCATAGGTATAGCTATTCTTATTTCAACAGAACATACTAGAGGTACAGATTTACACGATTGAATTGTATGTTTTGGTTTGATGTATTTTACTACGGAGCATACTAGAGGTACAGGTTTACGCGATAACTGTATGGTTTGATTCGATGTGTTTTACTACAGAAAATACTAGAGGTACAGGTTTACTCGATAACTGTATGTTTTAATTTGTTTTACTACAGCGTAACGTTTTTTTTAACGAGTAGCGAGTAGCGTAGCGAGTAAAGCAGTTCGAGGGTTCGTCATCACAGGTTGGTCAATGCGAAAATGATAGCAATATAACTGCAATGCCTTAAACCGAATAGGTATCTAAACAATCGTTGATTACCTCCCAGATCCCTACTCAGTATGCCCAAATTAGGGTCAGTGTCTGCGAGTTTGCAAGTTTTTCAGCCCGTGCGAGTTTCTTTAAAGTTCAAGAATCCTTCCCACGTTTGGTGACACACGCCGCCATCGATCGCTTGTCTCCGAGATGCGGGTCGTCTCCACTCGCATTCAAAAGTTGACGCGTGGTAAGCTTTTGCCTGCGCTCACTGTGAGTTTTCTCTTATAGACTTTGTTCTTGTCAATTCGTTCTTACCGATAATAGCTTCAGTACATATGAAACTATAGTCAGGTAACTGCCCCACGAAAGAAGTTACGCACTTTTTTGTTGTTGTCTTGAAGATGTTTTCGTTTCATAGAAATAAAAAAGGAACTATTGATGTCTGGTCTTTCACCCCACCTATGGCTTTCGGTGTCGTTCAGAACAGGTAGGAGCAGCAAGCTTTGTTAAAAAAATACTTTGGGCTAGGTTCGTATTTTACTTAATGGGTGCGCATATTTTCCAGTCATACGAAAGAAACTGATCACAAACAGTTAATAAATTTGCGACATCGTAACAGCTCTTTGTCATCAGTTCCCTAACTCCAAGTGTTAAAAAAAAAAACACAACCTCGCTGACCAGCAGAATTGAAACTCAATAAAGTCCTCGCAAAATCACACACGCAAAATCAAGCAATCGCAGCTCGCAGAATCACATAATCGCATAATGGCACTCTCGCACCTGTAATCTGCATGCGAGTTTCAGAATTTGAGGCAGCCTTTGAGATGGGTGCACACTGCACAGCCCTCATTTTAACAGCTTACCTGCTTATCTTGGATATTCTGCCATTTATGCTGGTACCTAAGCAAAGTCTTTTTCAAGACCACCCCTAAACGGTCAGCCTGAAGGGGTATGATCAGTGATCACGCTTGCGGCTTGAGGCTTCCTCCGCCGCTGCAACGTACTCTGAATGAGCCGTGAGGGTGCAGGTTACTATCCAGAGTGCATGTTATAGGCCGATGCTGGATTCTAGGTATTTAGCTGACGAAAACTGAATGTATTGAATAAATGCTTAACGTACAAATGTGCAACTGCAATTTGGCACTGCTTCCAAGTTATTCTTGCGTTTTAGGTAGGTACCTATTGGGTCATTAAAGTACCTATTTATCTTCACTTCAATATATTTTCAATGAGCGAAAATTGAAGTGGTGTGTTTCTCCTGAACAAATAACTTGACGAGAGCTATTCTGTATTCACGCCCTGCTTTATTCATCTTACCTTTCAGCTTCTTGCTCTAATATGTGACGACGCCGAATCAGAAAATGATCTGGACTGGAATTTGTCCTCTTTCCTTGTCTTTATATCAACGGTACTTCGGGGCCGATATGACGTCACTCTGCCGCCACCAATCATTTGCGAGCAGCGCGGACCGATGCGCCAATGGGCTCATTGGTGTGACGGCGGACAAGGCGCCGCCAGCGCAGGGTCGTGGGAGGGGGATGCGGAGTGGCCGGCCAACCAGACCCGACAGCTATGAACGATTGTGGGGTCCTTGCAGGCGCTAATAGCCACACCGTGTGGGCGAGGTGGACTGGGGCCTATGCTCAATTTATCTCGTATTGATTAGATTAAAAAGTGTGACAAACATGCTTTATTTGAATTGTTGCTTGAAAAATGAAACCTCGCATGCTTTGTTTGTAAGGCAAGCTGCACGCACAAATATACAGAAAGACAGCCTGAATCTACAGAACGTCCAAAAGCTGATAATGGGTTTTCTACCCGGGCAAAAAGTGCATCTCACCGCGCTTCGGGACTTAGTAAGCAATGCTCGAATGAGAGCTTGGGTACAGAAACAACACTTGACATGCAAGGGGAAGTTATAAGAGCCAGCCACGAGCCAACAAGGCCCACCAAAATTGTGTATAAAATATGCATGGGGCAGCCATTAGGAAAGAAACTCGAAAATTAGCGACCCGTCAATGGAAAGTTTCAGGTAGGTATTAGAGATAGTTGAAGGAAACGGCATTACGTTTGAAAGAAACGCTATTGATGCGATATAAAAAATGCAGTGAACTTCTTCTAATGGTCGAGGTCAGTGAGGGCGCAGCTAGCAACAATTAAGACTTGTTGTTTCTTCTACAACTACACTTAAAGTGCGGTGTTTTTTTCATGAAGCAGCAACGTTAAAAAAAAAACATTTTCATAGTTGGTATGCTTTCTTTGTCGTACGTACGCGTTTTTTTATTCCCTGCATACATAACTAAACGTGAGGTGTTATTATTCTATGATAATGTTGTCGAATATTCTTTGATATAGTCGGATAAAAAAGGCAGCGCTCGCGTAAGCAGTGCTTATTGCGTACACAGTGCAGTATGCATACCAATGTACATACTATACATATATTACTCGATTCGGGAATTTCGTGTAGACAAAGTAATGTTGACAACCAGTGTACCGTCCCTTGTTCATTGACATAACAGGTTCCGGTGGCTCTCACCAACTATAGGTTATGTCTCAGTTTCTTACCTCGAGCGATAAAGCGATGTAAATACGGGATCAGCATCGAGTCCAATGTCCTCCCATCTCAGCTGCAGAGCTGTGTAGTGCGTTTATGTATAATATATCACCCGTTTAAGCCTATTAGTGGCAGGCTCCTGGTTAAGAGCATTCGAGTTACTTACCGTCTCCTTGTCATTCGCAAGGTGCTGGTTAATGGCTTTTTACTACTTCGATTGTAGTTACCTGACTTCATCTATTTAGTACCCTAAATGCTTAGCATACGGCTGACGTGGATCATCACAGGCGCCCAACTTCTCCCGTCGAATGTCCGATCATATATTGTGACGAATTCGGTCGTGAACGTAAATGGAGCGTTCGTGTAATTGTATTGTCCAACTCATGTCTTTTAATGCTGCTTTAACTACTGGCTGCTGCAGCAAGACATTACAACTTCATGCAATAAAAACCTTTCTGCATGACTTGGTATACCTACCTGCAATAAGACTGTAGCTGATATCAGATAATACAAGGACGTTACGGTCCTTGCCGCTTCGCCAGTCCAACGAAGGTACAGTCCTTCGTGCGACACCTGCCACTATTGTTCCCACAAACTTCCGCCCACAAACGGCCATTTAGCTCTCCGCCCGAACTTCAGAAGCTGCTCGTGGAACAGGCTGTTGCGTGCTTTGGAGACAACTTCAAGTTCTGCAATAGGTGCCACCCGTGCCTGGCCTGCTCCTCATAATAACGCCTTCTCATAATAACGCCGGTCGGCCTCTTCAACAAAGTCGCTTTGTGGAGTTACGCAATATAAGCGTAATAAATGGGGAAGGACTTGGGTATTTAAAGTTTAAAGCTGCTAGCCATCCCCAGAATAACGGAGGCATATCATGTTGAAGAAACATTCAGAAGGTGTCAACACCTTATTTCATGATATTTTAACCGGACATTGGTAACTACATATACCTAAATATATGCAAACCTGATATATTGTGCATAAAAGTCGTGTTTACATAATAATTAAGACTTCATCTGACCGTTCTTGGTCAGGTCATGATTTTGAACTAATGTCAATATTTTGCGTTGATTACGAGCGAGCGCGAAGCGCGAAACGAGTCTTTTTAATATAAAGGAATTAGAAAAATCTCAGAATGTACATACGTATGAGCGGTCCGGCCCTATACCCGGCCCGGCTCGGCCTGTAACGCTTTTGAGAGGCTTAGATATAACTCAGCAACCGCAAGGCCTATTGACCTGCGGTCTTTTTTTATAACCCCATCCCTTCTACCTCGTCACCGACTAGTGTCGATGCATTTAGCTGACCGTCCTAGCACTGGGCACGTGCCACGTGAAAAGCCAAGGGTGTTCAAGTCGTTCTGCTGAATTGAAGATTTTGAAAGGCCTAACTATATCTCGGCAATGGCTGGGGCGATTGACTTGCGGTTATTTTAGTAGGGTATTTGCACCCCTTCTTCCAAACATCGGATACTCTCGATGCATGGACCACCTCCAATGAACGTTCAAAATGCAAAAACAAAGGGTGTCAAATATGCTCCCCTTACAATACCTCGGCAATTACTGCATTCGCTGAAACTTGGCATGCCGGCAGGGACCAACTGCAGGCAATGCATTCCCATGTGTTACGGTTAGTGTGATACTGCACGTGCGCACGTGCAGTGCAGGCGACGCTTCCAGATCTCGAGAACGACCGGGCCGACTGCGCTCAAATTTGGTACGCGTTTAGGGACCGGTTTGTAGGGTGCCGTGCAAAAGCCACTATGGTCTTTGGACCCAGTTAGCACGTGCACACGTCCAGGGTGCCACTTCCAGATCTCGAGAACGGCTGGGTGGATTGCTTCTAAATTTGGCACGCCGTAAATGACCGGTTAGTAGGTTGCCGTGTACAAACCAGGTGGAAGTACCCTCTCGCCCTTCCGTACGTGCAGGGCTTACTCTCTCGCTCGCTCGCTAATCGCGCCCCAAAAGGCGTCTACTGGTTTTAAATGCTCAATTATAATAATGATCATAATGTCTCTCAACAACTTACATTACGGTGCTTGTAAAATCGATAACGATAACGAGCTTTGGGAAACCTTTTCTACAAAATGTCATTTGACGGCTTTTGCCCTCTGGACTCTAGAAGCCTAACCGTTGACTTTACAAATCGTATAAAACATTACAAAAAAAAAAAAATAAGAGCCAACGAATTGAATTAACCGTTCTACCTTTATCTATGTAGGTATATATGTTACAGGCAAAGTGAAAACTCAGGCATTTTGCAAAATGCCTAGGCAATTTGCAAAATGCCTGACCGGCCAGGCATTTTGCAAAATGCCCAGGCAGTTTGCAAACTGCCTGACCCACCAGACATTTTGCAAACTGCCTGAAATATTTTCCCAGGCATTTTGCAAAATGCCTGACATGAAACTCGCACTAGCGACGATGTATAAGTAAGCACACAGATAACAGTAGTACTGGATTGGAAACAGAATATTGGCAGTTGCAGTAAGAGGCCGAATGTTTTTATGCGACGGCGCCAAAATGGGATTCTCGCGTGCTGCTGGGTGGATCATTTGTGTGTTGTGTATTGCAAGAAATCGTCATTTTTGTGTTTTGTCGTTTACATTTAAAATCGAAGCTACCAATGTTACTTTCATTTGCTTAAAAATTAAAGTATTTCACTTTTAATTTGATTATTTAGAGGGCACAATGCGTGGTGTTTTCTTTTGAAAACAAAGTGTGGTGCAAAGCCTTACATACATACGTATAGTATAGGTACATCAACAATGGAGGAGGAGAATGAACGGTAAAAAACTGCCGTTCTGGCTACAACCCAACGAATCAAGAGGAACAAAAGATTAAAACAGGTGATGTCTCACATGCCACCTATTCGCTTTTTTCACCGAAACATCTCTACGGGCTCAGTGGGTTGGCGCCATGGGTCACCGTGACCGGGCTGAGTGGGATCAGGACTATTCCGCTGTGTGTGAGCTGCATTTCAGAAAGGAAGATTTCGAAGATGATCGGTCATTTCGCACCGGCATGCAGAGACAGCGCCGTCGGCTCAAGAGCGGCGCAGTCCTGTCAGTATTGACCAGCGTGGATGGATTACGCGATGCCCCCTGTGCACGAGCGGCCAGCGAAACTAGCCATGGCATCCGCACGCCACTCACACCAGAAGCAGGTTATGAAGGGCCAGACCGATGCGTTCTTCACGAATGACAATGTCAGCTATCAGGTGGCAACTACAACTGGTCGAGTGTCCGGCAGTTCCTGGAGAATGAGGCGGTACTCCGAAGTCGAACTAAGGGCCTCAGATGGTGGTCACTGGTCACGTTTCAGCCCCGCCGACGCCTCCGCCCGAATGGCACCATCACGGCAGGAGTGACAGCAGGATGGTGCTCTTGTCATCCAGGAGCTAGTGGCCGCGGTGGCGAAATCCACTGAAATGGAGGACCTGGATGACAGCGCCAAGGCCTCCCTGGGACACAGCTCCGGCGCCTTGGCACGCTCGGCTCTGCGCTCGGCCACCAGGCGTAACAAGTACGGTGCCTCCGCCCTGCCTCCGCCAGCCTGCTGATCTATCATGGGGCTACGCCGCTGGAGGTACGACTGGAGAAAGACGAGGAAGACATCGACCTCACCGTGAGGATCTGCCAGATTTGGAGGCAACTGCCGAAGACGGAAGCTAACAGGAACCAGCTGCTGGTCTGCGATCAACCAAGAAGTGACGCAGAAGTGACGAAGATAGTCGTAAACCGAGATGTCGAACTGACCGGAAGTCGTTTGCAATGATAGCCAGCCACGACGTCCTTAGGAGCCTCCTTCCAGAGAT